CAAGGGGCAACTGGTACGAGCCAGTATTCATGGATTACCCGAAGAACAGTAGATTTGGGGACGGGACGGTTATCCCACTCCTTTATGGTAATACCGGAATGCCCCTACCCGCTGTTAGGACGGGACTTACTGACCAAGATTGGAGCTCAGATAACTTTCAGACAAGGGGGGCCTCAGGTCACCAATGGCAAGGGCCACCCCATCCAGGTCCTGACCATGAAACTAGAGGATGAATACCGCCTCCACCGGGAGGCACTCCCGAGAGAGGATAATATAGACAGATAGCTACAAGAATTCCCATCGGTTTGGGCAGAGACAGGGGGAATGGGACTAGCTGCTCAAAGGACCCCGGTCCTGGTAGAGCTCAAGTCAGGAGAAGGTCCGGTAAGGATCAAACAATACCCCATGTCTCAGGAGGCGCAGAAGGGGATCCAGCCACACATCTGGAGACTATGAAGCCTAGGGGTACTAGTTCCTTGCCAGTCTGCCTGGAACACCCTCCTACTGCCGGTCAAAAAACCTCACACAAATGACTGTCAACTGGTACAAGACCTCTGGGAAGTAAATAAGAGGGTCACGGACATACACCCAACTGTTCCCAACCCATATACTCTCTTGAGCTCCTTGGCACCCTCCAGGGTCTGGCATACTGTACTAGATTTAAAGGACGCTTTCTTCAGTCTGCCGCTGGCACCCCAAAGCCAACCCTTGTTCACCTTCAAGTGGCATGATCTGGAGGAGGGCTACAGCGGGCATCTCACCTAGACATGGCTGCCTCAGGGGTTCAAAAATTCGCCCACCATGTTCCACGAGGCACTACACGAGGACCTGGGTGAGTACAGAAAGTACTCCTACAGTACGTAAATGACATCCTGATTGCTGCGGACACGGCCAAGGGCTGTGAGCAAGGGACCCGGGGCCTGCTGGCTACCCTGGGGGCCTTGGGGTACCGGGCATCCGCGAAAAAGGCTCAGATATGCAGGGAGAGGGTAAGTTACGTGGGATACATCCTGGAGGGCGGACAGCGGCGGTTATCAGATGCCAGAAAAGAAACTGTCCTGAAGATTCCTCCTCCCCCCTCCCGAAGGGAAGTAAGGGAATTTCTAGGATCGGCTGGCTACTGCCACCTCTGGGTTCCGGGTTTTGCTGAGATCACCAGGCCTACTATATGAAGCTACCAAAGAGGGGAAAACATTTGAATGGACTGAAAAAGAAGAAACTGCCTTTAATCAGTTAAAAAAGGCCCTCCTAAGTGCCCCAGCCCTGGGCCTGCCAGACATTACGAAGCCCTTCCACCTCTTTGTAGACGAACACAAGGGAATAGCAAAAGAGGTTCTAACTCAAGCCTTAGGCCCCTGGAACCGCCCGGTGGCTTACCTATCCAAGAAGCTAGACCCAGTGGCTGCCGGCTGGCCGCCATGCCTAAGAATTATTGCGGCGACAGCACTCCTAGTCAAGGATGCAGACAAACTGACTGTAGGACAGGAGATCTGGATCACGACCCTACACGCCATTGAAGGGGTCCTGAAACAGCCTCCTGAAAGATGGATGAGTAATACACATATGACTCATTACCAGAGCCTCCTACTCAACCCTCCATGGGTGTGGTTCCACCCCAGTGCGGCCCTCAATCCTGCAACCCTGCCGCCCAACCCTGACCTAGATGCTCCACTACATGACTGTGCGGGGATCCTGGAGCAAGTACATGGATTCCGGACAGATCTGACTGACTGGCCCCTCCCCGATGCCAAGGCTACTTGGTTCACTGATGGCAGCAGCTTTGTGTGGGACAGACACAGGTATGCGGGTGCAGCGGTGGTCACCGAAACGGACACCGTATGGGCAGAGGCTCTACCCTCCGGAACGTCAGCCCAGCGAGCAGAGCTCATCGCCCTCACCAAGGCGCTGACACTGGGAGCTGGAAAACGGCTTAACATCTACACAGACAGCCGTTATGCATTTGCCACAGCTCATATTCATGGGGCAATTTATCAGAAGAGGGCGTTACTGACGGCAGAAGGACGGACTATAAAAAATAAGCAGGAGATACTTGACCTGCTTACAGCCTTATGGCTTCCTGCCACGCTGACCATTATCCATTGCCAAGGGCACCAGAAAACTGATAACCTGGTAGCTAAAGGTAATCGAAAGGCTGACCAGGCAGCCAAGGCAGTAGCCCTTATTTCAGTCCCCACCGTGACCATACAACTACCGGACCCGGGAGACCCAGTTTTACCAGACCAGCCCAAATACTCCCAGGAGGAGTTACAGCGGATCAAGAAACTCCCCATGGCCCAGGAGATAAAGGGATGGTTGTATACACCTAACAAGGAGCTCGTGCTGCCAGACCGGCTCGGAGTCTCAGTATTAGAGCACATGCATTGGTCTACTCACACGGGGGCCCGAAAATTAAAAGACTTAATCCGACATGCCAGAATCAAGATTCACCAACAGGACACCAAAATAGAGCAAGTTATATCTGCCTGCAAAACCTGCCAACTCACCAACGCGAGAGCCACATCAAATGAAAAAGGAACCAGGCTCAGAGGCACAAGACTGGGAGCCCAATGGGAGGTCGACTAAACTGAAGTTAAACCAGGAAAGTATAGTTATAAATATCTTTTAGTATTTACAGACACCTTCTCTGGCTGGGTAGAGGCATACCCAACTAAGCATGAAACGGCTCAGACGGTGGCTAAGAAGCTACTAGAAGATATCTTACCCAGGTTTGTTTTTCCTGCCATAATAGGATCAGACAGTGGACCAGCTTTTATCTCGAAGGTAACGCAGGCAGTAGCCAAGGCTGTGGAGGCAAACTGGAAATTACATTGTGCTTATAGGCCCCAGAGCTCAGGACAGGTAGAAAGAATGAATAGACCCCTAAAAGAGACCCTTACCAAATTAACCATGGAGACTGGTGGGGACTGGGTGACTCTCCTACCGTATGCCCTTTACTGGGTTAGGAACACTCCTTACACCTTGGGTTTTACTCCCTACGAGATCATGTTTGGCAGGCCACCCCTTATTATTCCCAACCTTTGAGCTGAACTTCTTATTGAATTTAAAGATCAAGAACTTTTTCTTTCCTTGAGAAGGCTCCAGAAGGGCCACGCCTCCGTGCCATCTACGAGGCTGGCCTGACTCCAACACCTCATCAGTACAGGTCGGGAGACTGGGTCTACATCAAGAGGCACTGCTGAGAGACCCTCAAGCCGTGCTGGAAGGGACCCTACATTGTGGTGCTGACAACCCCCACTGCTCTCAAAGTAGACGGCATCACGACCTGGGTCCATCACACCCACGTTCGGCCAACAGACCCCTCCTCAGTCTGGAAGGACTTCATCACATGATGGGCCGTCAATCGGGACCAACACAACCCGATCAAGCTCAAGCTACAACACATTCAACCCACCTAATATTGGTAACTGTTAGCTCTGCTTGTCACTGCTCATGCTGCCAAGAGTCCCCACACCCCCCAAAACATCACCTGGAAGATCATAGACACCAGCTCAGGGACGATACTTAATCAGACTTCCCAGAGCCACCCCAAGGACACTTGGTTCCCAGAACTTTACGTAGACCTCCAAACTCTGCTCCCCTTGTCACCATATGCCCCTGGATTCCATGCGCAGAACCTTTATTTCTACGTCTGCCCCGGCCACTCTCGCTCAAGCACATGTGGGGATGCGGCTGACTACTTTTGCGCCTCCTGGTCATGTGTCTCGACGGGGCACATCTGGTGGACCCCACCACACACCAGAGATCTCATCATGGTAAAGCGGCCCAGTGGCCCCCGACCGCCATATGCCTGGGGGTGTGGTAATCCCATAGTTATATCCTTTACAAGCCAAGGTAAAAAAACAACAGGATGGGAGAGTGGAAAAACCTGAGGATTCAGGATATACGACCGGGTTAGGCTGGGAGCCAAGGACAAGGGAACATTATTTACCCTCTGATGCAAGTGACTCCCCTTGCCCAGCAGTCCACCACGGGGTAGGACCCAACCAAGTACTAGTTCCCTGACCTGCCCCTGCCCGGGCGGCCATGCCCAGAAACACCCAGGCCCCGGCCACACAGCCCTCCATATCCCCTGTCCCTACCAGAGCGTCACCCGCATCTCCTGCCCTGGGTCACAACTTACTATCTGATACAGACCTCCTGTGGAGCACGGTTGTCGGAGCATACCAGGTACTAAACACTTCTAGGCCCGACCTGACCAAGTCCTGTTGGCTCTGTCTAGATGTCCAGCCCCCATATTACGATGGTATTGTCATTAAAGGCAATTATACAACAGCCTCCAACTCTAGCTCCTGCAGATGGCAGCAGGCTACTGCAAGACTAACCCTCCAGGCGGTAACAGGGCAGGGCACTTGCATAGGCCACGTGCCCCCTGGGCAGTCACATCTCTGTAATGAAACCCTAACAGTCCCCAGGGAGACAGTGTATCTACTTCCCCCCCAAAAATGCATGGTGGGCCTGTTCCAGTGGCCTTGCTCCCTGCGTCCACTCCCAAGTCTTTAACTCCTCGAAAGAAGGCTTCTGCATACTCATGCAGTTGATCCCCAAGCTAGTGTACCATTCGGGGAAAAAAATACTTAACAGGTTAGGCTCTACTAACCCCCGAAGTAAGAGAGAGCCTATTACAACCCTAACTCTGGCTGCGCTCTTGGGACTGGGATTAGCGGGGGCAGGGACTGGAATATCCTCACTCGTCATCCAGGACAAAAACTACGGAACCCTAAGGGCAGCCATTGACTTAGACATAGAAAGAATTGAGAAATCAATTTCTCATTTACAAGAATCCCTTACTTCCTTATCAGAAGTAGTACTCCAAAACTGAAGGGGATTAGACTTATTATTCATGCAGCAAGGAGGACTATGTGCAGCCCTAGGAGAAGAATGTTGCTTCTATGTTGATCACTCGGGGGTTGTAAAAGAATCTATGGCCCTCATAAGGGAAGGGCTACAAAAACGAAAGTTAGAGAACAATCTCAGTCCTGGTACGAGTCTTTGTTCAACTGGTCTCCCTGGTTAACTACCCTCATCTCGGCCCTTGCTGGACCCCTCGCCATCCTGCTCCTACTAGTAACCCTCGGACCCTGTATCATCAACAGGCTGGTCTAGTTTGTCAGGGACCGAATGGGGGCCATCCAACTAATGGTCCTCTGTGCTCAGTACAAGGCCTAATAACAGAAGAGGACAAAGTAGAAATGCAGCCGGTCCCATGATTGGGTCCGCAAGCTACATGACAAGGGGAGAATGAAAGAGTGGACCTAGACCGGCCGACTCCATTTTGTTCTGTGTCCTCCATCTTGAGTGACTATGGCCCCGACATGGCCCCCTTTCCGGGAAAACCGCAGGAAGAAATTCCCGCTCAAACCTCACACCACGCCTCCTCCCCTTGAGTAACCTCCCCGCTCACCTGTTTAAACTTCCCGTTCAAACCACGCCCGGCAACCTGCGCAATGGGACTCTGACCCTTCCCCAGCCAATCGGCTAAGGCCACAACCATCACCCCTCCAACTGCCCCTAGATCCCTATAAAACCTTTGTGCTTTTAAAACTCGCTCTCTGGGGCGCCTGGGTGGCTCAGTCGGTTAAGTGGCCGACTTCGGCCCAGGTCATGATCTCGCGGTCCGTGAGTTCGAGCCCCGCGTCGGGCTCCGTGCTGACAGCTCAGAGCCTGGAGCCTGTTTCAGATTCTGTGTCTCCCTCTCTCTGACCCTCCCCCGTTCATGCTTTGTCTCTCTCTCTGTCTCAAAAATAAATAAACGCTAAAAAAAAAAAAAAAAAAAAAAAAATTTAAAACTCGCTCTCTGGCATCTCACTGCTGCATCAGTGCAGGTAGGGGATTGAGCTCCTGCGAGCTCGAATAAAGGCTCTGCTTTTGCATCGGACTCGGCTCCCTGGTCTTTTGGGGATCACGAATTCTGGGCATAACAATATCATCTAAATCCAATATGGATGAGACTCATCCTGAGGCAGAATTCCTCTCCAGCTAGGAACCTGTGAAACCAAGTTAAGTGCTTCCACAATAGGGTGGTAGGACAGACTAGAGACAGACATTTGCATTACAAAAGAAAGAAATTGGAAAGAAGGAAGGGGTGGTAAGTCCCATGAAAGCAAGGGAAACTGAGTGAGAGCTTAAAGCCTGAGAATAATCCCCTTTGGCCCCATGCTGCCTTTAGCACCACCTTTTGGACCCCCCAAAAGAGGGTCCAGTTGGGGATGGCCACTGCTTTACTGTCTTGCCTGAGAAACGCTCTCCAGCTCTACCCGGTGGTGGTCACACCCCCCGGGCTCTGGGTAGCCCCGCCCCAGAGCTGTGGGTGGAAGCCATCTGGCCTGTTGTAACAGATGATAGCCTCTTTTGAAACCCTGATGGTACCCCTAATGATCTCGAATTGTTTTCAGGATCATTCTTTCCCTGTCTTGAAGAATAGCTTTTGTTCCAACCTAACAGCTCTGTGGTCCTAGTCCTATAAAATGCAAGACGTCCAACAGCCTTTCTTCATTCCATCCATCTCCATCCCCTTCAGTTCAATGGAGTATCCCTGCTGGGGTGGCTGATTAGTTCTACGATTCATATCCACGCTAATCTCTTTATCATATGGTCAGTAAACCGTACCTTTAGTTTCTTTATGCTTTCTCATTTTTTGTAATGTGGACAGTATTAGGATTTTCCAAAGCTTTAAAATTTTTTTTTTTCAACGTTTATTTATTTTTGGGACAGAGAGAGACAGAGCATGAACGGGGGAGGGGCAGAGAGAGAGGGAGACACAGAATCGGAAACAGGCTCCAGGCTCTGAGCCATCAGCCCAGAGCCCGACGCGGGGCTCGAACTCCCGGACCGCGAGATCGTGACCTGGCTGAAGTCGGACGCCTAACCGACTGCGCCACCCAGGCGCCCCAGGATTTTCCAAAGCTTTAAATTCTGGTTCCTTTTTGCATAAGTTCTATCATCAGTTCATATCTCTCTTCTCTTATTTTACCAATAAGCCGTCAGGAGGAACCAAGCCACTTCTTCAACACTTTGCTTAGAAATCTCAGCTTGAGATTTCACAGGGTACAAGAACAAGATTACAAATCAGCCAAATTCTTTGCTACTTTATAACAAAGATCACCTTTCCTCCAGTTTCCAATAACCTGTTCCTCATTTCTGCCTGAAACTGGAATGGCCTTTACTGTCCATATTTCTAGCAACATTCTATTCATGTACTATCTAAAAAAAAAAAAAAAGAAGGCATGGTCTCCAGCTCTCTTCTTTCTGAGCCCTTGGCAAAATCACCTTTAGTAGTCTCTTCACAACAATATTGAGTTTTTCCATCATGCACCCCACCCCACCCCCCGACTCCAGCCCCCACCCATTATCCACTTCCAAAGCTGCTTCCACACTTTTAGGTGTTTGTTACAACAGCACACCCACAGTTAGCCTGTGCTACTGTAACAAAAATATAATAGACTGGGTGGCTTAAACTAACCTTAACAATAAAAGTTATTTTGCCAGCAAAAAATGGGTTTACTCAGAAATAGCAGATGGGTGCCTGGGTGGCTCAGTCAGTTAAGTGTCTGACTTCGGCTCAGGTCACGCATTGTCTCACAGTTTATGAGTTAGAGCCCCGCGTCGGGCTCTAGGCTAACAGCTGGGAGCCTGGAGCCTGCTTCAGATACTGTGCGTGTGTGTCTCTTTCCGCCCCTGCCCCATTTTCACCCTGTCTCTTTCTCTCCCTCTCAAAAAATAAACTTAAAAAAAAAGTTTAGAAATAGCAAATAGCAGAGATTGCAATTCAGGACGTGCAAGCTACTGCAAAACCATACATAAGTTCAACAAACAAAGGAGAGGGATGTTATTTTAGGAAGAAGAAAGAAAGAGGAAGTCCGGAAGGATTGTTTTGAATGAAAGGCCATTGGAGAAAAGCAAGAGTTCAGGGTGATGACTTCTCATTAGCTGGTTGCAGAGGGAGTCAATGTCTTATAGAAGATACAATATACATCTTTTCTCTGTTAGGGCCTGTAATTGATGATTCTTTCCTGGTGATGATTCTTCTGTTGGGGCCTGTAATAGACACTTATGTTGGGAGTCTATAATGGACAATTCTTCCTATAACTGACATTGAGTGGTATGTCTGCCCTCTGTCTTCTTTAGTGAGGTTTTCCTTTATTAATTTTCATACAACAAACATTTATTTCTCACACACGCAGGCTGGGAAGTCCAAAATCAAGGCACCAGTAGATGTGGTGTCTACCACCCTATTCGTAGTTTGCAGATGGCGGCCTTATTGCTGTATTGCTGAGAGAGAAGAGTAAAGGTCTCATCCCCCACCCTTTTTTTGTTTGTTTGCTTAATGTTT